TATATACATTTATTAGACCCATAGAAATAATAGATATAGAATGCGTACTTCTATCTTTCTCAGTAAAACATTTGTCTCCACAAAATGGCGGATTTATAAGGGCATTTTGGCTCGTCCCAAACTCCTGTGCAAAGGAATTTCGCGCGGTTGCGTGGAGTGCGAATTGTTGTTTTTTTCTCAACAAAGTTTGTAAAAATGATTTTATATCGAGACTTAAAATGGAGATAAACTTTTGAAAACCCCATTTCAGTGGGTTTTCTTTACGAAAAGCAATAGTTCTGAACATAATATATACAGAAATCGTCGTTTAAAAATACATTTTCAACGTTGTTGTGGCTTACTTATAAGCATTATTTATTTAATGGATTTCTTATATCTTCAACGGGGTCTGGAAAGTAAACCATGCCGTGAAATATGGGTAGGGATAAAACGCTGAAACTGAATCGCGGAAACGGAAACTGAAAGCGGAAACTGAAATGGGGGTAAAACGCTGAAATGGGGGTAAAGCGCTGAAATGGGGATAAAACGCTGAAATGGGGGTAAAACGCTGAAATGGTGATAAAACGCTGAAATGGGGATAAAACGCTGAAATTTAATCGAATTCGTTGTTTGCTAGACCATTGCGAACGGCAATTGCTAGATAGTATACTTCAAAATAAGGTTTCCGTTTTTATATCAATTTTTAAAATAAGTTGGGGTTAGGTTAGGGTTTAGGTTAGGGTTAGGTTAGGGTTACTGGGTAAGGGTTAGTATTAGAGTTAGTGTTTAGTTTTATGTTAGGATAGTTTTTTCTACGTTATATGACGTCAATGCAACGGCCAGTTTATGCACCTCGGTCAGCGTCAGCAACGCCACAAGGATCCCAACAGGTCCCATTACCTACCGCTGTCAATCTTCCAGTAGGAACATTTGTTCTTAGTCTAGCTTTTGCAGTGTTAACGTTGTCCTCCTTCAGTTCGCACCTGTTTTGGGTGTTCCCAATCGTTAAACCTCGGCGGGATTATCGCAAGTCCACCGTATGATTTGAAGATTATTACACGTATGAATAGAGGTTTTCCTAACCCTAATACTCCTGATGGACAGTTGATGTTCAAAGAACAAAATGTATATTTCCATGTAAATTTGAGTTGCCTCAAGATGAAACAGCCATATTTTAATCCGGCCTGCCTGCGTAACTGTACCAAATTGGCTGCCATATTATTTAACACCAGAACATGTGCGCTTTTTACGAGAGTTTGGTGCTTAAATTTGACGTGGCATGATGTCGACATTGTTTTGTTTTTTAGTTTGTTCAGTTAGTTTGCTCAATTCTACAATTCTACACGGCCAAAAACGCTGAGCCTGCTGTACTGCCTGTACTGTACTGTACTGTACTGTACTGTACTGTACTGTACTGTACTGTACTGCACTGCACTGCACTGCACTGCACTGCACTGCACTGCACTGCACTGCACTGCACTGCACTGTACTGTACTGTGCTGTGCTGTGCTGTGCTGTGCTGTGCTGTGCTGTGCTGTGCTGTGCTGTGCTGTGCTGTGCTGT